GAGAATGGCGTAAACCCGGGAGGCGGAGCTTGCAGTGAGCTGAGATCTGGCCACTGCACTCCAGCCTGGGCGACAGAGCGAGACTCCGTCTCAAAAAAATAAATAAATAAAATAAAAATAAAAATAAAAATAAAAAGATTGTACTGAGGAGAAGCAAGAAGCAAGAGACAACCTAATGGATAACTTGAGTGACAAACTTCACTTTTCCCTGTCCCCACTGTGTAACAGCAGCCTTACCTTCTCTTGATATTGGAACCATCAACTTCTGCCAGGGTGGTGACTCCTCTTCTTGTCTGCTGATGTCAGAAAAATGAGGCGAAAAAATCTGTGTGGCAGCCCTACCTTTCCGTTTACAGGGACCCCGTATTTGTCATGGTGAAAATGTTCTTCTAGGAACAAAGACTTTTGGACTCACAGAGCCTAGAATCAAGAGGGTACATAGAAAGCACATCTTTCCCTATGTGGATCACTAGGAGTGAGGGAATTCAGAGCTACTTATACTTTGTTCCCAGGCATGTATACTTGCATACTAGGAAACAAACACTACATAATAATTATTGTTTTAGGGTGTTTATACTTTGCTCTGGAGGATGACACCCCATTGTTTCAGGGTATCATATATAAGTTGGCACTTTAGCTATGCTTTCAAAGCTATGCTCTATCTGGCCAGCATGCTCCTGGTGGCTAAGCGTGTGATAGAACCAGTGGATCCCATGCTCATGTGCTCACTGCTACACCTTCTTTGAACCTATGTGAAGTTATGCCAGATCCTATGTCAGTGGATCAGTGATTCTGTATGTTCTTGGATAATAGTACTAGCTGAGTCCTGTGAGCAGAAGAGGCAAACCCACACCAGAATATTTGTTAATTCTAGTGATTCAAGATGAATCACTTGCCACTGATGGGATTGGTCCCTTCATGATGTGTTACCGTATCAATACTCAATATTAATTTTTGTTGCAAGTAAGTTGGACATTCAGTTATAGCCAGGCGCCACTGAGCGGGGAGAGACCATGCTGTTAGGCATAGATAGCCTCCATCTCTGCTGCTATGTTTACCTTGTTCATGAGTCCATCCTGCCAGCACTGGGGTAGCTAATGATGGAGGCGGGTTAATATAAACCAGCAAGGTCATTCTGTCTGCTTATTTGTTCATTGCCTTTTCCATGGTGAATGTTCTATAATGGATTTTAATGTGTACAACAGAGATCTTTGGACTTTCTTCCCACTCTTATAGGTCCATCCACATGACTCTTCCCCAGACCTCTTTGTTTTCAATCTTCCAATCATTTTTCTTTCCTTTCTTTCTTTTTTCTTTTTCTTTCTTTTTTTTTTTTTTTTTTTTTTTTGAGACACA